CAGTGAGGCTGTCAGCAATTCCCCTCTGCTTTTTGAAGTCTTTCTTTGTATCTTATACTCCGCAATTGTGTTATATTTGGAGTACTATAGTAGCAACTAAAATAAAAATTAAGTGAAGGGTTTTGAGATATATAAAGGGTTTTGACTATAGGGTAATAAAAATATGAAAAGAATTACTCAACAATTTCTTATAGTTTAGCAAAAAACTACGTAGATCTAGCTATAATTTTTTTCATCTAATACATTGATAGAAAAATACATATACTTAAATTTAACAAGTTTTGTTAAATTCTAAAAGGGGATGGAGGGGCTGGGGATGCAGCTCAGTGCTGTTGCCAGCCTTGCAAGTGCAAGGTCCCGAGTTTGATCCCCATACCAACAGAAAAAAGGAAAGGAAAGGGGATGGAAAATCAAATATTCTTATTAAATTTTAGATCTGAGCATTTATTTTTTTCCTTAAAAATAATAGTAAATGTTAAACTGTCTCATTGATAAATTTGATATAAAATTAATTTCGTTTTAAAAATGTGTACAGAAAAGAATTGACTTTACAGAATAAATACTGTGCAGAAAATTTCTGATTCTTCCTATGAAGCATTAATGACTACAGGGAATTGATTTTTCACTGTAAACAATTTGAAAATCAGGCTTAAAAAAGAGAAGAATTATGGCAAGACTTTTTTCAACAGTGAGCTGGAGATTCTTATTCCTGAGGGAAGGGTAACAGATGCAACAAGCCCTGCCAGTTAGCCCAACTTAGTGCCTACAAGTACTTCCCAAGCCCGAAGGTTAGGATGGGGTATCCCAAACAGAGCTTGCTGGTCTTCCCAAGTTTGGACCAGAGAGCAGAGTCAGAGTTGGCTAGAATTTGTGAATCCAAACAGTAAAAAGAAGAAATTGCACAGAGACAGAGCTCTGAAGATCTGCAAGGGAACTTCTTAAATCACTGTCTGGATCTGGATTTGTCCATGCAAAGAAGGAAACTATATGAGGCAGGGAAAAGAACCATTGGAAAGAAGGCCAGATAATTCTTGGAAGTGAAGTGTTTCCTTTCGTACTCACTAGAAGGACTGAGAACATAGTGCTTTTTCTACTGGCTAAAATGAAGAGACCGCATAATAAGGAGCTATAAGTAGAGTCCACAGATGCCTATAGCTTTAGTGGAGCTAAATTAGTCCTAGATCAAAGACTGCAAACCACCTACGCACAAAACTAAAAGAAAGCCTCAAATGAATCAAAGTAATCCAATAATTTAATTGCATTTAAGAAGATAGTCCAGTTCTGATAGAATGAAGCATCCATCACTAAGCAGCACAAATTTTACATTGTCCAGTATCTAATAAAAAGTTATTGGGCATGAAAAGTTGCAAAAAAAATTAACCCGTTTGTAATTCCAGCACTCTGGGAGGCTGAGGCAGAAAGAGCACAATTTCAAGCTTTGCTTGGGCTGCTTAGCAAGACCCTGTCTCAAGAAAAGAAAAAGAAGAGGCAGGGGTTGTAGTTTTGTGTGCACAGGCCCTGGGTTCAGTGGCCAGCACTGCCAAAAAGGAAAAGAAAGAACAAAGAAAAGAAAAAGTGAAGCATTAAAAAGGATGAGAATGAAGTGACAGATCTACAAATATTTTATTTAATAGAGGTAGCAAATATCGTAAGAGTTACTGTGATATTTTTGTTCTCATGGTCAACAATACAGAGGAAAATGAACATGAGAGAAATGGAAGATACAAAAGCCCAAGCTGAACTTGGAGAAATGAAAAAGTAAAGTTAAAAGCAGAGTAGACTGGAAGTCATATGCTGCTGCTGAGTGCCATCCAAAGGAAAAGCAGGCTTGTGAAAACAAGATGGTGTGTCCTCCTCTACCTTATTCGATAGATCTGGTATCAGGCAACTTCTGGCTCTTCCCCAAAGTCAAATGACCATGAAAGGTAAACATTTTGAATCAGTGCAGAACATCAAGGCAGCCACAACAGTGAAGTAAGACATTCACGAAAGAGGACCCCAGAACTGCTTTTATGCAGTGGCAGGAACAATGGGATAAGTGGGTTTGAAGCTAGGGGGAGCATTTTCAGGGAGATTAATGCAGTGTGCCTTTTACTGGAATAAATTTTTTAAATTTTACCCTTTTTTTGGTACCAGAGATCAAACTCAGGACTTGGTGCTTTCAAGGCAGGAGTGGTGTCACTGAGCTAAATCCCCGGCTCTTTTTTTTTTTACCATATTTTTATCATGCCATATATAGTATTTAAAATATTGAGATCAGAGATGTCTCTAAAGTATTGAAAGATACAAGTTACTCGTTTAGAACTGTACATGCAGCAAAAATATCTTTCAAAGGTATAGGGGTAAAATGCATTTTTAAGCTAAAATACGGTGAGACACTACATTAGCAGCAGACTCACTATAATTCCAAAAAAGTTTTTCAGGAAGTAGGAAAATGGTACTAGGTAGAAATGTAGACTTCCAGAAATAGTAAATACGTGAGTAAATAGAAAGTATTTTTGTGTTTGTATAGAATATGGATAAAAAATACTGTGTGTCTGGAGTATTCAATGTACAGATCACAAACAAGGGGAATTTAAATTTTAAGCTTGGAATCTCAGGGCTGCTCTGGGAGGCTGAGGCAGGAAGATTGAGTTAGAGCTCAGTCTGACGTCTCAGCAGCCTTTTGTTGTTTTTGTTTTTTTGAGACAGAGTTTCACTATGTACTTGAGACTGACCTGGAACTCACTGTGTAGCCCAGGCTGGTCTCGAACTCACGGTGATCCTCCTGCCTCAGCCTCCCGAGTGCTGGATTATAGGCATGCACCACCACGCCCGGCTTCAGCAGCCTTTTTTTGAAGTGACAAATGTATTAAACATTTGTCTGAAAATGCAAAGCCTGGATGATGAGTAACAGTGTTATACAAAAGGAGAAGAGCTGGAAGACTTAGATTTCAAAACCTGCTGTGAAGGTGTCGTAATTAAGACAGTGGTGCTGGTCTAAAGATAGGCATATAAATCAGTGGGCACACAAGTGCCTACTACACACATGTAGTTCATTGGTTTATAAGAAAGGCGCCAAAGTGATCACAGTATAAGAAGGTATGAAGGTGACCAGGGATTTAGCTCAGTGGCACCGTGCCTGCCTCGCAAGTGCAAGGTCCTGAGTTCTATCCCTGGTACCAAAAAAAAAAAAAGAAAGAAAGAAAACATACAAGAATGTATGAAGGCTATACTTTTCAGGGATGATTTCTATAGTTCGTTGCTAGAAGTTTTTCTGATTGTGTAGAGTACCAGGAAAAAGAAAGAGAACAGAAAGTAGGAAGATAAATCTTTCTCAAATGGGAAGGAAATTCAGAAATGGAAGGAGGAGGAGGGGCAGGAGGGAAAGGGAATGAAAAAAGGAATAAAGATGCATTATATACATATACCGACTCCACACAAGGAACGTAAATGTTATGTATTGCAAACATGTACTACAAATAATAATGGTAATAATAATAACGTATGAAGCCAGGTGTGGTGGTCCAGTCCTGTAATCCCACACTCTGAGAGATTGAGATATAGGAGAGTTGCAAATCAGAGCCAACCTGAGTAATTTAGTGACTTAGTAAGATCCTATCTGAAAAAAAAATTTTTTTTAATACCAGAGATCGAACTCGGAACCTTATTCTTGCGAGGCAGGCGGCAGCACCACTGAGCTACATCCCCAGCCCTCTGTCTCAAAACTTTTAAAAAGGGCTAGGGATATAGCTCACTGTAAAGGCCCTATGTTCCATCCCCAATGCCACATACAAACAAGTATAAAAACTACCATAAGGAAACCTGATATTCTAAATAATTAAAATACACTAGTAAAAACTTGGGGATATTTAATAGGTAAACAATATTTAGCCAATGTTTCTGGAGCAACTAGAGGGGAATAATTGAAACTCGGCTTTTTACACATACACAAAAATTAACTCAGAATGGATCCTAGACCAAATATAAATACTGAAAATATAACACATCTACAAGAAAATGGTATTATTATACTGGGCGCTGTAACATTTTAATGAGCTTAATGCAATTTGTCTCAGGGTTTTTGCAAGACAATTCTGATTTAAAATGTCAAACCCATAAAAATGGAGTCAGAATTAAAATGGCAGAGATGATCTTCTCTCAGACAATATTCCATTAACTGAAAGTCGGAATCATTGACCGTACTTTCTTCAGCAAAGAAAATGTGTGGTGATATTGCTGCCATAGTTACATAATAGAGTAGTAGCAGTTATTATTTAAACAGCTTTATTATGATCTTGTTTCTTTGAGTCAAAGTGACTATGGATCTTAATTGGTTTCATTTCGTTTTATGTTTTCATTTTTATGAAGGCAAGTATGTGTCCTAGAGTGATACATATTTTGTGCATGTACATACATAGAGTACTTACACATGGGAATCATTGTGACTTGATCCCTACTAAAGTTTTTTTTGTTTGGTCTTTGAGTTTGGGGTGTTTGTTTGAGACAGGGTCTCACTGTTAGTTCAGGCTGGCCTTGAACTCACTGAGAAGCCCAGGCTGGCCTCTAACACAGGGCAGTACTGCCTCAGCCTCCCAAGCAAAGGGATTACAGGTGTGTACCACCACACCCAGCTATTTTTGTCTTTTTGAGACAAGGACCAGTTCTATACTTCAGGCTATCCTTGAACTCACTATGTACTCCAGGCTTTCCTCAAACTTGAGGCAGTCTTCCTGCCTCAGCCTCCTGAGTTCTGGGATTAATGGCATGAGCCACCACACCTGATCCTCTACTGAGTTTTATAGGTTTGTTATTATTGGATTTCCATGTACTTTTGGCCATATAAATTAATTGGTAATACATGGGATTTCTTAATATCTGTCTCCCTCTCCCAATATACGTCTGTTCATTTAAAACATGTTATGAAATGTTGACTTAGAGGAATACTAGCCACTGCTTGCATGTTCCAACCTGCTTATGCATGATTAATTTATTTTTTTAAATTTTTTATATCATTTTAGTAACAATGATGATGTTATATTGATTTCTGTGGAAAGTTCTAATTTGACAACTCCAATTACATCAAATCCAACAGGTATCTTAAATTGATTAGATTATTATTTATCAAATTAAAATGTTTAAATAAGTTTTTTTTTTTAAATAAAGAAACTTTAAAATAAAATTTCGTCTACTCAAAAATTTTCTGGGCTGGGTATTTAGCTCAGTGGTTCTACTGCCTGCCTCGCAAGCCCAAGGACCTGAGTTCGATCCCTGGTACCAAAAAGGGGGGAAATTTTTTTTTTCTAATTTTTATCTGTGATTCATAATCTCAGGAAAAAAAATACCTCAGTAAATAAATGGTTCCTTCATGTAATTTACATTTCTTTTTGATCTCGTATTTCATCAATTTGTGGCCTTTTATTTCTTTTAATTTTTATTAGTACCTATTTGCAGATATTTGTCTAGCAACTCTGTAAGTTTTGACAAAATTACTTCCATATACATTATTTTGAATCGTTTGCTGTGGCCTTCTGTTGGCATTAGTACTAGTTTATTGGGTTTTTTGGTCAATTTATATAGTCTATTTTGACTTAAAATTTATCTAAATTTTGTTCTTTTTCTTTTGACTTACAAAAAAAATTGTATTGTCTTTTAGAATTTGTCTTATACTTAAAAAAAACTTTTTTTAAGTTTAGATTTCCAGTGATCAATTTTTTTGTCCCTTAAAATAACTGTCTTGTGTGGCCCATAATTTCTGATCCAAAATTCCACATTTTATGTTTCACTCTTATGAGTATTTGATCTTAATTTCTGATAGTTTGCCTCTGTGTATACAGGTACTTAATTGTTTCCACAGTTTTTAAATAAAAAAGCTACAAGAGACAGCATTTATTTACGGTTTCCTACTAATTTAGGAAGAGTCCTCAGCCATCTCAGTCTGTTTTAAAGACACTGGGAGTAAAAAAAAGTTATATTTTTCTGCAATTAATTTTTAAAATATTAAAATAATTTCCAGGTAGATTTTTTGAAAAGTTACTAATATAGTTGTTAAAGTTACAAAAAGAAGCCTTTTTTTTTTGGTACCCAGGACTGAACTCAGGACCTTGGGCTTGCGAGGCAGGCGGTGGCAAAAAGAAGTCTTTTAATCTCAAATTAATTTAAACAGATTATCAATTTCTTAAACAGGTATTCTAGTCAGTTCCTTTATGATTATGTAATTAACTTTATTAGTACTTCATTCTTCTGTTTCAGCATCTCATTACAAAGTCCATAGGTATTTAATAGTTTAAACTTATCAAATATATTCATCTTTCAATAATTCCCTTTTAGGTATTAGTACAGCTCCATCAACAAATTCGAGGAAGTCACCTGATGATATAATTGACATTAGGGTAGGTAGTAATTATTATCTCTGAATATTGTTTATTTAAATATGTTACTTCTAAGAACTAATGTTGCATGCTGTTTTCTTTTGTCATTCATTCTTTGCTTAGGCTGGCAGGAAGTGGTAATTAATATCAGCAGTGGACCCTCCTTTTTGTGACCCCAGTTTGTGGGGGGATGACACAAATTACTATTAGCATAACCAGCTTACACACTGATGAGCAGAAAACTAATGAAAAAGATATTTATAATCATACTTATTTACTACTTCATTTAGACTTGGTCATATTCTCAGAAACCATGAAGTATCTTATAAGCTTAATGTTTTGTTTTATTTTTTGGTACTGGGGATTGAACTCAGGCCCTTGTGCTTGCAAGGCAGGCAGTGGAACCACTGAGTCAAATCCCCAGCCCTAAGCTTAACTTTTTTACAGTAGAGTTCAGTTAAACTAAATGTTAATTAAGGCTGTGGGTTTGTGTAGCTCAGTAGTAGGACATTTGCATTTACAAGGTCCCTATGTTCAAGCCCTATATTGAGGAAGGAAGGAGTGAAGGAAAGACGTAATTTTTTAAAATAGTTTAAAATTATATGTGTTTTATTTTTTAAAAACATTTTCTACTGCTAAAGGCATACTTTTTTTTTTTTTTCAACAACTTTTCAGGCTCCAGAGAAGAAGAAAAGTGATTTTGTTATTGATTTGACAAATGAAAACCTATCCTACTGCAACACAGGTAAAGGGTTTTTTAAATCTTTGTTAAGAAACTGGGAAGGATAACAACTCAAATGTTCTGGACCTGCTTAGGAAGTTTGTATTAGTGTATGTGTGTTTATAGTTCTGTGTAGTATCATCAGATAGGTAGACTGATGTAACTGTCACAATTCATGTAGATGCTACTTTGTAGCTACCATGGCTCCATCTACCTCCTGTTCTCAGTCTCTAGTCTTATACACCACTGATCTCCTCTTCATCGCTGTAATAAATGGTATGTTACTTCACAGTTACTGTCTAAATGTGATGATGCAATGTATGTCCTTCTGAGGTTGGCTTCTTTTACTTAGCGTCATCCTTCTGAGGGTCTTCTATGTTTGTTTGTTTCATTTCTTTGTTTTTGGTAGGAGTGGGGATTGAACCCAGGGCCTTCACACTAAGCCACACAACCAGCCCTTTTTAAAGTTTTTTCTAGTTTGAGACAGAGTCTCACTTAGTTGCTAAATTACCAGGATAGGCTGAAACTTTCAATTCTCCTGTCTCAATTTCCTATTACAGGCATGGGTCACCCACACCCAGCATGTTGCTATATATTGTATATCAGTAGGTTTTTTTGTTTTGTTTTGTTTATCATTCATAGCCCATGGTATGAATGTATCACAGTTTGCTTATGCATTCATCTTTAGAAAGAGACCTATCTTGGTTGGGGCTTTCATGAGTCTCTTTTTTTCCCTATAGCACCTTTTTCTTTCCCCTAATCCATAATAGTAGTAGCTGGGAGAATGCATGCAAAAACAGAAACACCCATGTATGAACATGTTACTTGGTGTGTATGATAAGAAACTATAGAGAAAGAGTGACAGCAGTGCCCTCTCCATTTAAGCAGAAAGGTAGACTACTATCATCTAGGTCTGGGACTCCATTCTAGAGTCTCATTCAAATTTAATGAGTATATGCCCACATACTCAAAAAGTTAAACTCCAAGCAGGATACGCCAAGAAAATCATAACAACACATACCATAATCAAATTCCTGAAATCCATGATAGAAAAAAAAAATGAAGATATGCTATACAATGTGGGTAGAAGAACAGAGAACTATACAAGCCAAAATATGTTAAGCCAGCCTCAGTAAGTGGTTGGGGGAAAATATTTGTCAACCTAGAATTCTGTATCTAACAAAGACATCTTTCAAAAATTAAGACCTTTTTTAGATAAGCAAAATTTGCTGCCAGCAGGGTCTTCACTGTGTGAGATAAAGGCAGTGGTCCAGTGAAACTAAGTGATATGAGATGGGTAATAGATCTGAAGAATATAACACCATACTGTGTATTTTATGATACATGTATCTTAATGTGTGATAACAATAGTGTAAAAGATGGACTGAGGAATGGAAGTACACAATCACTATATGAGAGTGGAATAGTGTCAGAAGATAGACTATATAATAAGATACACGTGCTAATGCCTAGAGTGGAAATATGTATAATACCAATAGTGGAGATAAAGTGGAATTTTAAGCATGTTCAATCTAAGAGAAGCCACAAAAAAGTAGGCAAAGAATAGACCAGACTAATTAAATTCTACCATTATGATAAAGGTAAATGGTCTACATACTGTATGGAAAAGCATTGTTAAACTAGAAAACAAAACAAGACTATCTGTTAACTGTAAGAGATGTACTTTAAATATAAACATACAGGTAAGTTAAAATTAAAAGAATGGAAGAATATAACCATGGAAAAGCTTGCAAACTGTAGTCCTAAGAAAGCAGGAGTTGCTGTGTTATTGTTGGATAGCTAGAAAATAAGGAGTATTACCAGGGATAAGGCTTTTTTATAGCAATAAAGCAGTGTGTGCCCTTAATAGGTAGCACTTTAAAATTCCTGATGCAAAAATCGATAGGACTGAAAGGATAAATATTAAAACAAGCAGTTATAATTGGAGATACCCAAACCTCTTCTCAGTAGTTAATATGTATACAGAGCTGAGCTTGATGCCACTGGTTTGTAATCCCAGCACTATAAAAGGCTAAAGCAGGAAGAATCGTGAGTTCAAACCCCATGCATACAACTTTGTAACAAGTAAGACCCTATCCCAAAATAAAAAAAGGTCTGGGGATGTAGCTCAGTACAGAGGTCCTGATGTTCGATCCCCAGTACTAAGAGAAAAATAAAGTATAGGCGCAAAGTCAGTAAGATTATCACAGTTTGAGCTATTAATACGCATAACCTAATGGACATTTGTGGAATACTCAACCCGAGCCAGATCTTTTAAGTGCTGATGAAATATGGAATAAGAGATAGGTTTATGGACCATAAAACAAGTTCTTGTACATGTAAAAGATGATATTCAAACAAAATACAGTATGTTCTTTGACCAAACAGAAAGATAGCTGGAAAATCCCTAAATATTTGGAAACTATCCACACTTTTTAAATAATCCATGAGTTGAAGATATCCAGAAGGAATAAAAGCATTGTTTTTCAAATGTTTCTATTTCAAAATTTTACTCCACTAAACAGTGAAGAAGGGGAAATTATTAGTGTTGTTTGTTTTAGAAGAAATAGAAGGCCTAAAATGAATAGCCGTAGGCTTTTTCCATAAGAAGCTAGATAAGGGGAGAAGAGCAAATTAAATCCAGAACAAGCAAAGGACACTTTAGTGTAGATGACTGGGTGGCACATAATCACAAGATATCCTCAACATTATTGTCATAACAAAATCTGTAAGATACCGCAACACATCCCGTAGAAAAGCCGAGTGAAAGCAACTGAAGGTATGAAGTGTTGGTGGAGATACGGAGCAACTTTGGATTCTTACACTTTAAGAATGTAAAATGATAAAACCAGTCAGTTTGACAGTTTCTTAAAATGTTGACTAAGCCAAACATGGTGTTGTACACACCTACAGTCCAGCACTCTGGGAATCTGAGGCAAGAAGATTGCAGTTCAAGCCCATCCTAAGCAACTACAGAGACACTGTATGTTAGGTACTTTTTCATTGCTGGGACAAAATACCCAACACCCCACAAGTTAAAGGAAGAAAGGTTTATTTTAGCACACAGTCTGTAGAGGTTGCAGTCCATAGTCAGCTGACTCCAAGGTAGGGCAGCGTGGCGAAGGAGAAACCGTCCCTGGCAGGGCAAGCAGAAAGCAGCCAACAGCAAGCTTTCCTTCCCTTCCCTTTTTATTCCATTCTGGCTATCAGTAGCCTAATACTGGGCACAACCCACAACCAGGATGGGCCTTCCCATTATCCACACCTAGAACTCTGTTAAACCAATCAGTGGACTAATTTAATCATCAGGCACCCCTACTCAATAGTCACACATGTAAAAAGCACCACCGAGGAGTGTATGAGGCTCTGGGGATGGGGGACATCTAGATGTAAGCCATAACGCCTTGAATCAAAAATGTTTTTAAAAAATAAGCTGGTTTCTAGCTTAGTGTAGAGGCCCTGGGTTCACTTCCCACACTCCTTGTCTTGATTACTTTTCTCTTGTTGCAGAGACAAAATACCTGACATCCAAAGTTAAACGGGCAAAAGTTTCTTTAGCTCAGTTTGTAGAGGTTTCAGTCCATAATCAGCTGGTTCCATGGCAAGATGGCACATGGCAGTGCAAGACAGCAAAAGCCAGCAAGCAGGGAAATTCAACACTGTCTTTCTGCCTCATCTTATTCAGACTACTTAGGGCAGGTAGCACTCAGACCCTTAATCCTAGTGCTCTCACGTCTAGCATTGCACTGTGAATCAATTCCCACATCACATACTCCAGATCCAGTCACCTCTAAAAAAGCCTCACCTAAAAACTCATGAGGCTTTAGGGGACATATAAACACAAACCATAACACTCCCCCAAAAAATTATACTATTTTTATGTGACTTTTAATTCACTTTTTTATGTATTTACACAAGAGAAATTATAACCTACATTCACAGAGGCCTTTACGCAAGTGATCATAGCTCTAGTAGTAATAGCCCAGAACTTGAAACAGTCTGTATTCACAAATTAATGGATAACTACATTGCAATCCATATTGCGTATGCTTAGTTAAGCATTCAACCAAAAAATGGACAAAATATTGATACATACAACTACTGTATAAATCTCAAATAGTATGCTGAGCAAAAGAATCATGTACCTTTTGTGATTTAATTTATGTGAAATTCTAGAAAAGGGGAACAATTTTGTGTTTGGAAGTTGAGAGGCTGGGATCAAACCCAGGGCCTTGTACGTGCTAGACAAGCAGTCTACAACTGAGCTATACCCCTGGCCCTAAATGTAATCTTTTGTGACAAACTAGTGATCTCATGGACACACAGGTGAGGAGGAATGATAGAAGAGAGATTCTTCACTTTTGGGTGATAATAATATTCCATGCCTTGATTTTAGTGACGGCTTTACAAATTTGTGCATTTGTCAAAACCTAATGAATTACACTCTTAGGGCATTTTTCCAAACTACAGGCTTAACAAACATGGATGGATTGTGTGTTCACACGTGCTTGCACGTGCAAGCTTCGGGTCTGAAGGTCAGGCACCAAAAGCACAATTTTTCTCCAGCAGTTTAAGAAAGAACCTTAAAATAATAGTGTGCTGGCTGCTGCAGATTGAGAATACAAAGCACTGAAGTTGTCATTTACACATTTTTGTATAGATAAGGAAAAGAGCTGGAAAGTATAAAACATTGACATCACTAATGATAGAAACATCAGTTGGGCCAAGAGAGAAGTCCTGATTTTCTCTTATTAGCACAAAATTGAGCTTGTCTTGTTTTAATTTGCCAAGAGCCTGTTGGCCTTGAAATAAAAAATGTTATTTTGGGGAAACCACATTTCCTAAAATATTCTTTTATATCGAAGTGCTTACTTCAAAACTCGAAGTTGTATTACATCTTCTGTGATGTTAATTTTCAGGTCATAATTTTACAAATCTAATTCTAATGAACTGAGCCAATATAAAACTGGCATACAACTCTTTTAGAATTAAAGTCATTAGCTCGTCTAGAAAGCACCCCCCCTCCCCAGGCACGGGTGGACTCAAGTCTCAGCAAGCTAGGCGAGTACCCAAGAACTCTACCACTGAGCTAAACTCTGGAACGTCCAGCTACCCAGCCCTCATGCTTGCCAACATGAACCCCCTTTTAGCCATCCTCAGGTATATGTACACTCTGGCCAGTTGCTTTTGAACCTTTCTCCACCTGTCTCTCTCCAACCTGTAGCTCTGTGGTTCCTCTTTTCTCTTCCTCCACAGTTGTTCTCCTTCCTCGCCTCTCCCTTTTGCCGGTCCACAATGTACACCTAATCCCCTTCTGGTGAATGTAGAGCTTTCTCTAACCCTAGCCTGTGGAAATTTTATTTTGGTTTTGAATTCCCAGGCCTTGTGTGTCTCGTGTATTCATGTGAATAGATAACGGCTCTGTGCTCGCAGGCGTTTTTGTTGGTCTAACAGGAAAGACTCTGCCTGTGAGTCACTGAGCAGGGACCCCTCTCCACTGAGTTGAATGTACCTAGTTCCTAGTTGCATAATGACTGAGGGGTTTCCCTTAAGAGAAAGTTTTGTTACCTTAAAGGAAAAATTGTTATGTATAGAACTTTTTTTTTGGTACCGGGGATCAAACTCAGAACCTTGTGCTTTTGAGGCAGGCTCAATAACACTGAGCTAAATCCCTGGCCCTGTGTAGAAACTTATCAAAAATATATCACCATATTTCAGTTTTGTAATTTTAGCTCATATTTAATTTACCAACCAAGATATAAATAAACTATTTGCAAAAAGGCCATGGAATTATTGCAGATGAACCTTGTTTCTCATTTCATTTTTTTGCAGTGCTGAGAATCAAACTCAAGGCCTCACACTTGCTAGGCAAGTGTTCTCCACTGAGCTAAACCCCCAGCCCTAAATTTTACTTCTTAAACCTTGTGTTGTTCACAGAAAGTCCAGTATTCACCCTGGAATCACCTTCGAAGGCTGTTTTAAACTCAAAAGAAATAACTCCGGTGGCAGAAAATGCAACCGAGGTACTAACACGAAATGCTGTGTAAGGACATTCATTCCAAATTGAGAGGGAAGTAACTTTTACTCTTACAGAAACATTTGGGTCATCTTTAATGCTTTACATGTGCGATTGTTCATCTGTTTATGTACACAGTTTAAATAATTCACCTCAGTTTGCAAGAAGCTACAGAAATTAAAACAGCACATTTTTTCATCCACCAAACCAAGAATTTAAGAGTTACTGCCGTCGTTGATAGGGCAGAGGGAAATGGGTGCTCTCTCACACACTGATGCTTTTTGCCTAAATGAGTGTACTGCTTGGGAGCACAGTTTGGAAGTGAGACAGATGGGATATTTATCCAGAGAGCTGCCCTACTCTGGTTTTGTGAGATTCCAGAGCGTAGAAATGTTAATGCCAAAAGGACCTCGTGCTTAAAACAACTGGATCCAACCTCACATTTCCTTGGAATATCCTTTTATTATTTTGATAATAGGCTGGAAGAATGGGAAATATAATTATGCAACTGCAGTTGACTACGTTGACATGATCGGGCCCACCAAACCAGCTTCCTAAGATTTTTTACAACTGTGTTTTTAGGATTTGGATTCCTTTGAGCACCTGCCACCTCTCCCAGAACCATTGCCACCACCGCCTGAACTGGTGGACAGAGTTGGAGATACACTCCCTCCCCAGAAGCCAGAGCTGAAAGTGAAGTGGGTGCTAAGGCCCATGGGCATCGCCCTAACCTGGAACATCACCAAGGTTGACCCCAAGTGTGCTCCTGTGGAAAGCTACCACCTCTTCCTGTGCCACGAGAACACTAATAATAAGTTGATTTGGAAGAAAATAGGCGAAATTAAAGCTTTACCACTCCCCATGGCCTGTACTTTATCCGAGTTTTTTGCTTCCACCAGATACTATTTTACTGTCCAGTCAAAAGACATTTTTGGGCGTTATGGACCATTTTGTGACATAAAATCGCTTCCTGGATTTTCTGATAACTTTACCTAAAAGTTTCCTCATTACTTGTTGTGTTTGACATCTCCTGTTTTCCGTATTTGAGTTGTTAGTTTACGATGCTAGTGTAACACTACTTGCCATTTTATAGGACCACACTTTAAGCCCCTTGTATGGGGACAGTCCTCTTTCATTTATTGTAATGAATTTGTAATTCTATGAATTTCTGACATGCAAAGACTTCCAGAGTGAGTGTGTGTGTGTGTGTTTTCTCAGACATATTGTCGTGGACCTGTGTTGCTAAGGTATCTGGGATACAATCAGCCATTGTTGCTTCTGTCAACAATCAGCTTTGGTGACCTGCTTGTGGTCAGTGTAGCTCTAAGAAAAAGTGGCCCTTAACGTCTTCCCATTCTGTTAGAATTCTAGGTGGGCTATGGATCTGTGCCCTTCCTTTTTATTTTGTTACTCATTTGGAGAAGCAGTCTAAGACTGTTGTATGTTTATGTATAAAATGTACACTCATCTCATAAAAACACTGTTCAACCTGCTATTTAAATTATAGTTGTCTGCCTTGAGTTTGAGTCTTCAGTTTGCTGATTCGCTAAGATGCAAATGCCTTGGCTGCCATCAGGCACTCCGAGCACAACACAAAAGGACTCAGACTGGCTCTGCAGACCTCTCCCTGGGGGACACTGCATGAGGTAAAGGACAGCAGCCCAGGGAACTGGCTTGAGTGTAGGTCAGGACCCAAGGGAGACAGATATCGTGGATGGCTAATAACTGGAATGTTAATAGAAAAAATCAGATTGTTTGATATATTCACTGGCATACAGTGAAAATTGTGAGCTTTAAAAAATGAACAGTCGGGGCTTGGGATTTAGCTCAGTGGCATCATACCTGCCTCCCAAGTGCAGGGTCTTAAGCTTGATCTCCAGTATAAAAACAAAAACAAAAAACCAGTAAATGGCTTTCCTAGCATTTTCTGAATGCCTCCCCGTCTGGCTATGAATAAGGCTGTATATTGCCAGCCTCCCGTGTCTTTACGAACCATGGCTGAAGGCCCGATTCTGAAATGCACCCTGCTGAGGCCCTCTCTGAGTTCAGCAACAGGGGTACCCTGACCAAAGAGCAAGAAATTCACCCTGGGGTGAGGACATGAGACCATCACTCCCTAAGCCAAAGCCAGCCACTGCCTCCTCAGACTCTGGTGCTCTGGTCTCCAGAGGAAAACTACACTGCCCCCAGCCGGCCACATGGAAAGCTGATAGCCGTGCAAGGCCCAAAGCAATGAGGAGGCCGAGAGCAGACGTGTTTTGAGGGGGTAGCTCCCACAGCATTGGTCCTTGCCTTTCAAGGGGTAGGGACAAGGTTCTCCAGAAAATAGTCGGCATGAGGCCAAGTGCCCCCCACTGCTCAGTCACTACACAGAATTGGCACTGTGCCTCCTGCACTTGCAGCATGGTGGAAACCCTTTATTCATTAAGCACCAGGACTACACTGACTGATGAGCTCACACTGAATATGTTGAGAAGAGGCTATTGGCTCTTCTCAAGGAATCACTAAAATTCAGGCCTGGAAATAGGCTGCACAGGTGGGTACTTTGCAGTAACCCCGTGAAGGTTTCAGACTTCGGACTATTTTACGTGACTCATTTTAACAAGATGTTCTGTGCCCATTTCAAAGATGGCAAAACAGGCCTTAGGGAGCTTAGAAACCTTCACCAAGGCCACAGAGATCCGAAGAACAAGTTGAATCAGGATTCAAACCCAGCTGTGTGATTTGTGGGCTCACAGTGAATCCACCATGCTCTACTGACTGGGGGACTGGACGGATCCAACAGAATTCACCCAGTTCTTGCTGTCATGATAAAGGGAAACAAATGTGGTATTTCTGTCTTCAATGAGAGGTTCCCTGAGCCTCCAGGTGCGTGTGGTGGTACTGGACCTGTTCCTATAGCGAGGCTGGGGCCACCCTTCCAGGCTTGCTTTCCCCAGCTGGGAAGTAAAAAGGTGTCACAAGCTCACCTTGCCTTTTGAAGGCCAAGGCTGGGCCACACAGTGCGGCAGCTGATCACTCAACCTGGGCACGGCCTACCATGCTGATGGTATCTAGAGTGAGGCGTGGACGTGTGCCACGACCACTCCAGTGGAGTCTGTGTGACAATGCCGGTCACCTGGCAGAAACCAGACCAGAGGTATCGTCCCCACGGGGTTAAGCCTCCTGGAGGTCCTTGGCACACACCGCATGCAAAGTCAGCCGTGAAGAGAATAGCTGGCCTCTCTGCCTGCAGTTTGGGGACATTGGGTTCATCTATAATTCTGTTCTATTTTGTCTTTATTACTATTTGTTCATTATCTGTAGAATTGTATTCTGGGCCCAGGAAAGGTTAGGAACAATTAGATGTTCCTAGAGATGTGGAGGTATTGAGGCACAAGAGGACGGGCGGCCAAAGTGCTGACCCTGAGCCCCGGACTGTGAAGTCCTGAAGGTGAACCTGAAGGTGACATGCTAAAGCCAGTCCTTTGTCTTACAAACTTCCCCTTCTGACTGCGTATAGGTGTGGTCTTACCTTGACTTAATGGTCTTAGCTTTTGTGATGGTATATAGGTGTGGTCTTACCTTGATCTTGTGGTCTTAATTTTTACAGTACTATTGTCTATCTTATACCTGCCTGTGACTGGAATCACTCTTGTGATGTGCCCTTGAAACTAGTATATAAACACCTGGAGTTAGAAATAAAATTGCAGCAGCATTGGCAAACTTCACCTCGGTGTTGAGTGCTTTTGTCTGACTGTCATCGCCGAACCTGCTCCCACCTTTCAGAGAACCTGTATCTCCTCGTGAAATCCCGTGTATGCTGCCCTACGGTCGGTAGCAAGTGGCGCCCGAACAGGGACCTGAAAGGTAAGCTTTCTCTTCTCTTTTGTTATATATATATATTTTTTTAGGAGTTTAAGGTCGGCTCTCACGAAGGGATCTGCAGTCCCGCCAGTAAAAAGACTGGTTATAAGTGAGTAATCAGAAAATATGGGTCTTTCAGAATCAAAGGGAAGATGTACTTTTGTCTCTGTATTGAGGCATATGTTGCGAGAAAGGGGACTAAAAGTCTCCAAGGCTATTACTGGACGATTTTATGATTGTATAGTAAACGTTGCCCCTTGGTTCCCAGAGGACGGGGGCCTTACTTTGGAAGATTGGAAAAGATTAGGAAGATATATGAGAAAATATCTATCTTCTCATAAAGAGGAGACGCCTCCACCTCAGACGTTCCCGTTATGGGCAAAGATAAGAGATATCTTATTGGAAAAATCTGATTTAGAATTTTTAATAGAAGAAGCCCCCTCAGAACAAGATGAGGACGAAGCCCCCATAAATAAATGTGGCCCACCAAAGTATAGAGCTACAGGGGATGATCCTGATGATTGGGATCTAGAAGATGCAAGAAAATATGAGTCAGAGGAATATTACCCTGAGGAATATAATAATCCCCCTCCTCAGGTAATGATTTCTGCTCCTATAAAAAAACATGGAAAGCCGGTTCCAAAGCCAAGAAGGTATTTACCTCCAATAGGATTTCAAGGTGCCATAGCACAGGCTAAGGCAGAAGGGGATATGTCATTTACTTTCCCTATTGTTCTATATGATGATGAGGAACCAACTTGCGAAGCTTTGCCTTTAAAAACATTAAAAGAATTACAATTGGCAGTAAAAAGTCTGAGACCATCCGCTCCTTATACTATTCAAATCTTAGAAATGATAAGTACTCAATGGCTAACAGTGTATGATTGGTTTCAAACTGCTAAGGCAACTTTGTCCCCAGGAAATTTTGTTCTCTGGAGAACAGAGTATGAAGAGACAGCTAAAGAAGCAGTTTGTAGTAGTTTCGCAAAAAAGAGAGCTAAGCCTACAATGTCCATGCTGCTAGGAGAAGCGGAGTACACTCAACCGGCAGCTCAGATGCGTGTAGGCAGACCTATTCTAGAATTAATAACTCAGTTAGCAGTAGGGAGCTGGAAGACAGTCAGGAAAGCTGTCTTATCAGGAGGAGATTACCTCCTATGGTTGACTAATTATACCGAACAATGCAAAGTGACTGCGCACCGCAATCAACAGGCGGGAGTAGCTTTAGCGAGCTATGAGATGCTTGCAGGAGAAGGGTCTCAAGGCATAGTATCTCCTTTACAAGAGGCTCTTAAACACGCCGCAGCACAAGGGGAGGAAATCTTTAGACTATTCCCCCTCATTCAAGTAGAGGGACCCCAAGGGCCGATTAGAGAACATCACCCTCTTGAGTTTAAATTGGTTATGCACCCCCAGTTGGGGAAGGGGTTTTTGCTTGTGTTTTTCCACAGAATGCTGATCAACCATGGTGGATCCCGGAGCGTTTTATCAAACAGATTAACGCAAGCTGTGAAAAGGACCAAAGACAATCTTCCGGTGTTATTTCGTGGACGTCATTACAGACTCTGTTAATCCCTTAAAGATAAAGATTGTGAAGGCTCCTCCTAAGAGCTAATTCTTCCTGCTTTTCCATCTTATGTGCTTTTTCATACTTTTCCTGTCATAGTAAATGATTACTTTTTACATCCACAAATAGAAGGTTAATAGTAAATGAGACAGAAGAAGATAGTAGAAAAGCTATGGGTAAAAGAGATATACTTTTGATATGAAAAGATTTTGTATGTTTGTCTTGTTAGAAAGATATAAAGAAAGATATACAAGACCAGAAGGCTTAAGTATGTAGAGAAGGTATGTGGAAGTGTTTTAACAAAATTATATATATTTGCTTGTTGGTTTCAAGTTTGTTACAGAAGGTTTACTTTTATAATAATGGAGCTTTCATTCCTTTTGATTCTAATTCTATGAGATCTGTTAATCTACCAAAGTTTTGACTGGTGTTAACTAAAAGAGGTTCTAGGGCTGGAGATTTATTTAGCTCAGTAGTGCTGCCACCTGCCTTATAATTCAATTGGTCAAATACATTTGAGCGTATTATAGTTTCACAAATTGTCTTACAAGTTTGTGTCTGTACAATTGTTTGAAAGGTATTTGTCCAATTATACTAGATTGAAATGATAACAAGGATACTAATAATTTGTTAATTCCTATAACCTGGTTTTATAAGTTAAAATTTTGTCAAGATAATTAGGTATAAACTCAGATCTAGATAAACTGTTAATAGCAAAAAAGACAGCTACTGAAAGAAAATTTATTCTGGTCTTTATTCACTAATGCCTTCTGAAAAGATATACCCCCAGTAAATATGGCCAAATATGTTGTTATAGAATGTTTACATTGGTTATCATCAAAGGGTTAAATTCTAAATATGCTATTGTGTTATGTGCTCAATTTTAACCAGTTGCAACTGTCTGTATGTCAGGATCGAGGTGGCTGACGAGCCGGAAACCTCCCCTGACCCCGGCCCTGACGAGGACTCCGGGTAATAGAATCAAAGCTTTTCTTTTTGTGTGGCACCTGTCTGTCTTGTCAGTGTCTCGTCTGTTGAGTGTTAAACTAAATTTGTTCCTAGGGACAAGATGGGAGCATCCAGCTCCAAGAACACCACCCCACTGGATTGCTTTCTAACTAATTTTAAAATTGTTTTTTTTCCCTGAGCACAAGGACGATTACGGGGTTAAATTCTCTCATGGAAAGCTTCGCTCCCTGTGTCAATCTGAGTCCCACCGGAGCAAGTGACTGTCTGCCTCCTTGGAAGGGAAAAGGCGCGCCCCCAGGATTTCCTGGGTTCCCTTTCTAGGACGCAGAGGTCGGCTCGCCAATAGTGGAACAGAAAGAAGGAAAATGAATAAAATCATCTCTCTGAATGGTGAGATCCCCTGGGTTGCTCCCTAGTTTGTCTTTGGAAGGGGACCCAGGGAGGGAATGTATTAACTTCTTAGGTGACTGTGTGTGTGAAAGAGAATTGGTTAGGAGAGTGAATGGGAAGAGCTGGGTAGCCTCCTTTGTACATCAAAAGAAAGGGAGGAGGGCTTATACTTAAAGAGCCCTCCAGGCAAATAAACAAGGCCGTTTTCTGAAACAGAACCCCGGCACCCCACCCTTTGTCTTGCATTGCATCACCGGACAAGGGAATATCTAATAGTTATGGGAAATGCTAATACTAAACCAACTGTTCTCAAGTGCATAATTAAAAATTTTGATACAGATTTTGTGGGGGACTGTAAGATAAAACTGCAACCAAAGATGCTTAAAAACTTTGTGAGTTATCATGGTCTCAGCTAAGCCAAACCTGGCCCCCTGACCACGAATGCCTCACGGTCACTGACAATTGTTATCCAGTCATCTAGATCTGCAGAAAGACCCCCTGCCTGAGGTTGATTCCTTCCTGCTCAAGGATGGGAGCAACTTCATAAAAAATGGGGTACACTATGGTGGCTATGCAGAGATGACTCAAGATGAAGTGGTCCAAGCAGGACCCCTCCCCACTGGATGGTCAGCTCATTGAGCAGAACTATGGGCACTCATACAGGCTCTCCGATGGGCAAAAGGAAAGAGGGTAAATGTTTATACAGATTCCTGGTTGCCACTCGATATAACTATGGCACAGTCTATAAAACGGTGGGCTTCTCACAGCAGAGGGCACTTATTAAAATTAAACAGTATATAATAAAGTTATTTGAGGCAATGTGGAAATCTGACAAAATAGCTATAATATTTTTTTAATTCCAAGGTTTGGTCTGCCTCTCTCCATAGGCAGTGACAATGGGCCAGCATTTATAACAGAGGTTGTAGAGACTTTCTCTTGGGCTTATCCAGTATAAAAATCACAGGGGTTAAAATTGTGCAAGTATTAAAAAAAAAAAATAAAAAAAAGCCAAGGGTAAATTAAAAATAAAAAAGATCTCCCTGTGATGTTAAAATTTAGAAAAGGACCCCTTTCTGACCTATATAGAAAGGGCCATATGAGTCACTTATAGTTACTCCCACAGCTATCAAGGTAGCTGAAACTCAGCTACACCACTCTAGAGTAAAACAGAATTCCAGGGAATCCGACTCTAGGAGGCCAAGAGACAACGCACTCAAAGCCCTGCTCTCACCACACCGGAAGCTGGTGAGTCTATGCACGGCTGAAGAAGGAGAACTACAATCTAGATATAGACTCTTATATTGTGTCATACTGTTATGAGTTATTATACTTCTAAATTAAGAGTTGATGAGCCTACAGATGATAAAAATATGAAAACTTTTGTGCTCTGGGAATCCTAATCCTCAATTTCTCACTGCAGTCACAAATTACCTCATTAAGCCAGTCACATCTGGACATCACTTCAGTGAAAGGTTTAACTTCATCCCTATCTTCGTCACTAAAGGCATTAAATCCCCTTTCCTGGGTCCACTATACTATAGTTGGAATTATAATTTTTTGCATTATTTGCATAATTCTAATTCTTTTCCCTTGCTTTTTTAGAATCTTTTCTCAAGCCCTGTCCCAGCTGCAGACAGAGATCGCTGTTCTACGGCTAAAAAACAAACAAAAAAGCGGGAACTGCCACGACCACGCCAGTAGAGTCTGTGTGACAATGCCGGTCACCTGGCAGAAACCAGACCAGAGGTATCGTCCCCACGGGGTTAAGCCTCCTGGAGGTCCTTGGCACACACCGCATGCAAAGTCAGCCGTGAAGAGAATAGCTGGCCTCTCTGCCTGCAGTTTGGGGACATTGGGTTCATCTATAATTCTGTTCTATTTTGTCTTTATTACTATTTGTTCATTATCTGTAGAATTGTATTCTGGGCCCAGGAAAGGTTAGGAACAATTAGATGTTCCTAGAGATGGGGAGGTATTGAGGCACAAGAGGACGGGCGGCCAAAGTGCTGACCCTGAGCCCCGGACTGTGAAGTCCTGAAGGTGATCCTGAAGGTGACATGCTGAAGCCAGTCCTTTGTCTTACAAACTTCCCCTTCTGACTGCGTATAGGTGTGGTCTTACCTTGACTTAATGGTCTTAGCTTTTGTGATGGTATATAGGTGTGGTCTTACCTTGACTTAATGGTCTTAGCTTTTGTGATTGTATATAGGTGTGGTCTTACCTTGACTTAATGGTCTTAGCTTTTGTGATGGTATATAGGTGTGGTCTTACCTTGACCTTGTGGTCTTAATTTTTACAGTACTATTGTCTATCTTATGCCTGCCTGTGACTGGAATCACTCTTGAGGTGTGCCCTTGAAACTAGTATATAAACACCTGGAGTTAGAAATAAAATTGCAGCAGCATTGGCAAACTTCACCTCGGTGTTGAGTGCTTTTGTCTGACTGTCATTGCCGAACCTGCTCCCACCTTTCAGAGAACCTGTATCTCCTCGTGAAATCCCGTGTTAGCTGCCCTACGGTCGGTAGCAGACGTGAATCCAGTTGTCCTTGCCCTCACCCACACCAGCTTCCTCCTGCTGCCTGGCTGCCCCATGGCGGTGACTCCAGCCTCCCCACAGGACACACGGAGCAGCGTACACGGCATTTGCTCATACACAGGGCCACATCTAACCTCACAAGGAAGCCCTGGTTCTATAGCCTCTGGCTCCCTTGCTGAGGCACAGGAAAAGCACCCTGTCTCTGGGGCCTGAGTGGGGGCAGTAGATTGTCGGGCTGTCCTGAAAGTACCCTTTCTCGCCCATCACTGAAATGTGGCCTGGCAACTCTATTTCTCCGTGCAGAGTGTAGGCAGTACTGCCTTGTGGTTTGTAACTGCCTGTATGCTCCTTCCCTCCCTCCTCCTTCTTTTCCCTTTCTCTCTCTCACCTTACTCACCTGGTTCTACCAATGAGACAGAGCCCTGATACGGGGCTGTTTTGTAAGGAAGAACCCAGTAAATTCATGTCTCAGCATCCAGTGTAAATGTTAAGTTGGACCATCTCAGAACAGAGCAGAGCTTCCTAACCCTTGGCCCAGGACCTAGTTCTCCACCTCCTACCAGAGCGTCAGGGTGGCCCATCCAAACAGCTGTCCTCTGCAGCCACCACCTGTGACCTCCCTATGGAACAGGTATTCAGCCCCCTTGGCTCACCCCATGGGCTTCCATCCCCACATGGACTACAGATGCGCTGCAGTGACCGCCCCTTGGTGACAGCGTGACCCCGTGGGACTCACTCGTTGTCCTCTTGCTCTAAACCCACAAACACACTTTCTCAAGGGAACCTGCTTCAGTACCTGGATCCTCCCCACAAAGGCTTCAGTTCCACTTCCTGCGGACCTCCGGGCAGCCCCACCCCGCCAGGCACCCTTCTCCTCCCACGGACCTGTGAGTAATAAAATCCTTCTATATTTTACATGCTTCATTGTGATGCCTTTCTGCGCATCACCAGCCTGGATAGCCCTGAACCTAACCTAACCCTCCAGCAAGGAACGTAGCAAATGGATCAGGTTAGATTGGAGCTACCAAGCAACCTACCAGCGTAAACAAGGTTCCTGTGAGAGGGACAGCACGTGAGCTTTCAGTTGCTGTGACAAAATCCCTTAGATAACCAACATTTAAAAGAGGAAAGGTTTACCTTGTTTTTTGGTTCTGGAGGTTTCAGTCCATGGTCTGTGGACCCCATTGTTTTGGCGCCTTGGCAGGCAGTAAACCATGCTGGAAGTATTGGCAGGGGAGGCTGCTCACCTCACAGTGGCCAGGAATCCAAGAGAAAAACAGAAAAAAAAAGCCTGGGCCCCAATATACCTGCTTCCAGGGCACACCCCAGTACCCACCACCACCTCTCCCTAGCTCCATAGCTAGTGACCAACCCTTTACACTTAGGCCTCTAGGGGGCGTTCCAGATCTAAACTATAGCAACACTGAGGTATCAGGCCATCCAGCCAGACAAGTCTCACATGAAAAGTACCTACAGAGATCCACAGCCACCCCCCCTGGGGCCCACCCAGACAGACCTAGAGTTTACAACCACTCTCCGGAGAGACCAAGACCAAACTAAAAGAAAATCACATATAGAAAATCAATAATACAAAATACCAAGCACAAAGCAAGTCCTTATTAGTAAACGGCCAAAACCAAAAATAAGGGCAAAGTAGAAAGCAGGGACTGAAAGAGGGGATTAGAAACACTCTATTTCTTCACTACTAATTTATGGGGTGGGGAGGGAGTCACTCAGAGATGGCCAGGGAGATAGAAAAATTCATTTCAAAAAATCACATTGACGCCGCCTGCCTTGCAAGTGCAAGGACTGGAGTTCAATCCCCAGTACCAAAACAAAAATAAATAAATCACAGGTTGGGCCGGGGATTTAGCCGCCCTGCCTCGCAAGCACAAGGTCCCACATTCAATCTCCGGTACGAAAAACAAAAAACAAAAACAAAAATCGTGTGGGGCCGGGAACTTAGCTCAGTGGCACCGTGCCTGCCTTGCAAGCAAAAGGTCCTGAGTTCAAACCCTGGTTAAAAAAACAAAAAACATGTAAACATATTCCACTAGAAAATTATAAACAAAGTGCTGAGACATCAAAACTCTCTCTCTACAGCCTCTGTCCCAACTCACTCTGTAGAGATCACTCTTCATAGCTTGGTGTATGTCTCTCCGGGCCTTTTTCAATGAGGGCATTCATGTCTGTAGGGTCTTAAAAAAATTCCTCCCAAGGCTCCACCAGCCCACACTTCCACCAGCAGAGTATGATACCAGGGATGGAACTTGGGACCTTGCACTTGGGAGGCAGGCAGCGGAACCACTGAGCTAAATCTCTGACCCCTCTGAGTTCCTTTTAACCTCCCTCTACTCTTTCCTTCCCAGTGTGTAGAGACAGTATTTTACTCTCTACTTTTGTGGCTTCCACATATGACTGAGAACATCCCTAGACTAATCTTACATCCCACTGTGGATAAATTGGGAGTCACAGTGACTAGGAAAAAAAAGTTTTTGGATTGGGAGAAGATCTGGCTTCCAGTTTTCCAGATAGGCATTTAATACATAGCTCAGAGTAGGTGGTTACCTTTTTGTTTTGTTGTGTTTTTGGTTTTCTTGAGACAGGGTCTCACTATGTACTTGAGACTGACCTGGAACTCACTATGTAGCCCAGGCTGGTCTCGAACTCACAGCGATCCTCCTGCCTCAGCCTCCCCACTGCTGGGATTAGAGGCACACGCCTCCACTCCCGGCTGGCATTACCTTTTTGAATGTGTTTCCTCAGACCCTCAAAAATTCCCAGAAACATGCTGATGTGCTGGCACAGGCCTGTAATCTCACCACTAATACAGCCTTGAAAATGAGAGAGAAAAAATGCCAGCCCCCATCAGCTGGTCAAACTGGCCATCATCCTGCCTAGCCCCCTGCCATCACTTTCTCATGTTCATTGGCTGCTCTGTAAGGCAGGTAAGGCAAGGATAGGCTGATCCGGGCTGGCCTTTTTTATCTCTAGTTTTCAATGCTGATTAGTTTCCAGCTACATTTTATTTTGAGCGGGACACAGTATAATGATTCTATCTTGCTATTAGTTGTTAATCTCTTACTGTGCTTAATTCATAAGTTAAACTTTGTCATAGACATGTACATAGGGCGAAAAACAGATTCCATATAGGACTCAGTGACATCCTAGCATCCCCGGGCTCTTAGAGTGTGTTCCCTCAGAAGACTGCCCCGCTGTCTTCTAATGAACCAGCCGAATTTTGCACTCCAGGAAATCTAGATTTAAGCCCATCTATTGAATTATCTCAATGGCTAGATTTCTCATTTCCAGTATTTTTAAGTATTCTTTTATATCCCTATGTCATTTCACTGCTGCTGTTTTTATTTAGTGTGTGTATATGTGTGTGCACACACGTGCATATATGTGTTGCTGGACAGTGAACCCAGGGCCTTACACAAGAAAGGGAAGCACTATCACTGAACTGCACCTGCAGTCCTTTTTAATTTGAGACAGGTTCTTGCTGTATTTTTTCAAGCTTGCCTCGAACTTGAGGTCCTCCTACATTGGCCTCTCCTACAGCTGGGATCACAGGCATGCACCAGCATGCCCAGTTTTCTTTTGTCTTTCAATTTTATTCCTTTAGTATTCTCTTCAAAGAGACTACACATAGTGGCTAGTGGACTTATCATTTTAATTTTAACCAGAGTGAATTTTTCTTTCAACTGTTATTTTGTTGGGTATCACATTACAATATTAACTTTTACCATATGTTTTAGAAATTTGCTTTGCAGTCTTATTTTGAATGGGAGTTTCTCTTTTCTTATTGTTTTTTTGCACCTTTTTTTTTCATCACTTGTGTATCTTAGAGATGATTATATATCAGTACATAGAGATCTGCTTTTCTTTTAATAGCTATATAACTTTCCATTGTGTGTATGTAGCATAATTTATTTTAACAGAACAATCTGTATTCCCCCTAATGATTAGTAAAGGTTATTGCCAATCTTTTGCTGCACAATGAAGTATTTAATATCCTTGTCCATATATTATCTTGCACGTACAAATATAGGATGAATTCTTAGGAGTGAAACTAAGTACTTAAAAATTTTGTTGAGCTTTTCTCCATAGAATTGTTCCCCAGCACATACTCCCTATCAATTAACTACACATTCTCACAAAAA